ACAGTACTTCCTCTGCTACAGTTCACAAACATTAGGTGATAATGCCAAAAATTAAAGGGTGTGGGCAGGAGGCAAGGAGGAGGGAGTTCATGGGTGACTGCAGATCCTATGGGCCAGTTGGAGTCCCAGTCCGGCAGTTCCTTGCCTCTGATCCAGGCATTTATGACTGTCTAGTCTAACTCTCACTTAGGAATTTGTGAAGCTGAGTTTCTGTCATTGCCACCTTGAAGGTGGCACTATCCCAAACAACAAAATCAGCATGTAGTTATTGCAGTGACTTTTCATTTGCAAACACTGAAATAGCATTAGCCACTCTGCTCCGGTTAAAGCCTCACTAGTATCCTGGGGGAAGTAAATATTTTTACGATCAAATTTAGAAGGTTAACACAAGGTATCTGGAGAAAGAAGCCCTTCGATGCAAGAGAACCATTTCTGAGTAATATGCAGTGTCCACGCTGTGTGTGGTCACAACTAGCTGTGACTGTGATGAAGAAAAAAAAAAAAAAGAAACCAAAACCAAAACCAAACAGGTCAGGCTGGATCACCAAGGAAGAAATTCAGAGGGAATAAGGAACTCTGTCATGGGGCCAGGAAAATAACCACACCACATGAGCCACAAAACAACAGAGTGATCCAGGAGGTGTGTGGAGTGTGCACAGGTGTAGCCCAGTGTTCTTAGGGCAGTGAGATGATCCTGTGTGATACATAATAGCAGACACGTGCTGTTATAACTTTATGGAGACTCTCAGAATGTATAACAGGAACAGAAGCACAAGAGGAAACCCTAATGCGAACTCTAGACTTCAGTTAATAATTGTGTGTCAATATTGGCTCACATATAGGAAGAATTGTATCAAACTACCCAAAGTCATTAATAACAGGCAAAATGGTTAGAGATGGGACATAAGGGACTCTGGTTTGCTAACTGAAAATTATAAACCTAAAAACCGCTCTATGTTTTTTTTTTTCCCTAGGACTGGTAATATAGCTAATTGGTAAGGGACTTATCTAGTATGTTGAGACTCTGGGTTCAATATACAGCATCACCAGAATTAAAAATATGAAGTCTACTAATTGAAAACAAACCATACTGAAAATAGATCTAGGGAAAATATAATTGTATACTTTATTCAATTTTGTATTATAGTAATCTTTTAAAGATTCAGTAAAGATATATCTCCTCAAGAAATGATTAATCAATCAAAGCCCAGAATCCTTTGGTCTATTTTACTTTATGATGGAGTTACAGAAGTAATCACAACAAAGGCTTGCAGGAGCAAGATGCTCAATGTCTTTGAATACCACAGCATCCTCCATCTATGAGAAGGGACACTGGCCCAGCCATAGAAGCACCAAGTGAAGCAGTGCCCGCATGTCTAGTCCAAAACACAAGGTATGTACTTGGTAAAGTCTCATTCATATGATTTTTCATATTCAAATTGAATTGAACAATACAGGGCTAACATCCTGGCTAACACTGCCAGTTTATTTCTATGTCAAGGATGAAGAATGCTCCTCAGTCCCACTTAGCTGCAAAAATTCCCCTGCATTCCTAAAACAGGGGCTCAGCACTCCCCATGTGGGTATGGGAAGAGAAGGGCCAACACATTTCTGGGGAATGAACTCGCCTTCTTTATGCAGCTTGGATGATATGCTCTGCTGGGTAGTTTTTGTCAACCTGACACAAACCAGGAAGAGGGAACCTCAATTGAGGAACTGTCTCCATCAGATTGGTCTGTGGACATGTCTATGGGGCACTTTATTGATTAATGATTGATGTGGGTGGGCCAAGCCCACTGTGAGAGGTATCACCCTTGGGCAAGTATTCCTGGACTGTGTAAGAAAGCAGGCAGAGCAAGCCAGTAAGCAGCATTCCTCTGTGGTCTGTGGTTCAGTTCCTGCCTCCAGCTTCCTGCTTTGACTTCCTTTGATGATGAAGTGTGACCTGGAAGCAAATAAACCCTTCCTTCCCTTAAGTTTCTTTCTTTTTTTTAAACCAGTTCCTGTCTTTTTATTTATTCATACACAACTGCTTGTCCTCTGGTTTGTTGAAGCAGTAAGTCAGACAACACTTGCCACAGTAAGTTTCTTTTGGTCAGTGTTTATCACAGGAATAGAAACCTACCTATGGCATATGCCTTTGAGAAAGATGTTTGGGTTGAGAAACAGAGCTTGAGGATCCCTCTTGCAGTAGCCTAGGGGGATCTATAAAACAAACCTTGACAAACCTAGATTAAAGATCTACAAGGAAGAGGGGTCTCTAGCATACAGTTGACCAGTTTGGCCTGAAGCCATGGTTTAGCTGATGCAGCCCAGTCCTACTCTTGCCAAACAGTTGCAGTCAGCACAAGGCCATGTGTGAGTGAGTCCTGGAGCGATTGCACAGCAGTGTGCAGAATCGGGAAGCAACGAGAAGCTGAAGGATGCTCACAATGCCAGGCCTTTGCGAACCAGCCCCCTACACAGGCACAGGAAACAGTCCAAGACATTCTGCAAACTTAGCCCCAAGGGCAGGCATCCCCTCTGGCAGTCTTGAAGGAACATGTAGAATTCACTTGGCAATCATGCTGCCTTAGACTGAGTGGAGGGCTAATCAATCTTGGCTATAAGACCTGAAAGGAAAATAAGGGAAGGGAGGAAGGGAGAGATGCCAGGGATGTTTCTGAGCTGTCTGGCCTCTTACAACCCCCAGACCTTGGAACTCTGCTGGTAATGAAGACTAATGCAAGATCTGAGCAGCCAAGGCAGAATGAAACGGGCTAGAGCTCTAATATTAGAGTAAAAAGGATTTTTTTAAATCAAGGCTATGCTTAGATCTCAATAAATATACTTCCCTCTAATGCTGCTATGACTGATACATTCTGATAAAACATACTCTTTGTATGCTATTATTAGTAAGAGTATAAGAAAAATGTAGAATATTGACCACTTTTAATATATGTGTATTGTTATCTGTCTATGACCAGATCAAGCATGTACATGTCTTCCTGTTCAGCAAAGCCATCTAGCTCCCAATTGGCTGGTACTTTGTACACCTTTAATAATATAGCCACAGGATCTCCATTGCAGGTCACCACCTGCTACTTCTACTGCCTCCCCTTGAGGATTCCATTACTACCCAGAGGTACCTCACCACCAACGGCAGCCTCTTTGACTGCCAGAATTCTAGCATGCATAGTCGCTTTTCCATTACTTAACCTTCCTGGTCTTAAACAGAGAAGTTTCTCAAACTCCCCAGAGTTAGTCTCAGAGTATAGATTGTAGCCACATCAAGGCTAGCTGAACCATTTACTCAGTGTTTAATTTTGAATAAAAGACTTCAACTAGCCGGGCGGTGGTGGCGCACGCCTTTAATCCCAGCACTCGGGAGGCAGAGGCAGGCGGATCTCTGTGAGTTCGAGGCCAGGCTGGACAGACAGCCTCCAAAACAATACAGAGAAACCCTGTCTTGCAAAAACCAAAAAAAAAAAAAAAAAAAAAGACTTCAACTAGATAAATGATCCTTAGGATCACCCGTAACCTTAGAGTTTGTTACATGGATTAAATGATGCACTCTTCTCCAAGGCCCGTCAGAGTACTTAACAAACAATAAATGTTCAGAAACTGCTGGGTTTTCCTTCAGGCCCACGTCATAGTCTATCCTTTGGACCCTCAATCTTCTTCCAGTCTATGATGACTGAAACAAGAGCTGAGAGAATCTAGCCTTGGAAGATCAGGCTGGCCTGGCTTTTCTGACATCTGTTAGGGCCAACTGGTACCTGGGCATCCTTGCAAGCCTATGACACATACATCAGGGCCTACAAACTCTGTTTGCTTCCATAAAGGGTTTGATGCCACTTGGAAGTCATGTTTAATAATGTAAACTTGCCTACCTTTAGTATACTGAAGTAGGCAGAGGATATAGGAGTAAATTTTTAATATTTATGTTTAATTTCACTTTTTATTAAATTTATTCATTTATTTTACATCCTGACTGCAGTTTCCCCTCTCTCTTTTCTTCCCCTTCTCCCCCCCATCTCTCCCCACCCCACCCCCATCCACTCCTCCTCTGCTTCTATTCAGAAAGGGGCAGGCCTTCTATGGGTATCAACAAAGCATGGCATATCAAATTGAGGTAGGACTAAGCTCCTCTCCTTGTATTAAGGCTGGGCAAGGTAACCCAGTATGAGGAATAGGTTCCCCCCCAAACCAGCCAAAGCATTAGGGACAGCCCTTGTTCCCATTGCTAAGGGTCCCACAAGTAGACCAAACTACACAGCTGTCACACATATGTAGACGGTCTGGGTTGGTGACACGCAGGCTCCCTGGCTGTTGTTTCAGACTCTGTGAACTCCCATGAGCCCCAGGTTAGTTGTTTCTTTGGGTTCCCTTGTAATTTCACTTTTAAATTGAGACAGAGAGCAGACAGTTACTTTAGGAATGCTTTTAAAACAGAGATGTTCTGGAGGGAGGGCAAATGTACATCTCGAGGTGGGGAAAGAAGAGACAGAAACTTAAGACAGACAGACTTCCATGCTTCTTGGACTATTATGCCATCGCAAACATACAATCAATGGGCCTTTGATCAACAAAACTGGGTGGTGGCACATGCTCTTCAGTCACTGCTGCAATTGTTATCGACAAGCTGGTAATGACCACGCTGTAATGTGCCACTCAAACTGAGAGCATTAGCATTGCTTAAAGGTCAGAAACAAAGTCTCCTAAAAGCAGAGTTCCTTAGAAATCAGAGGAAAGATTCAGGATCTTTTAAAGCCAAGTTCACACTATGTACCCAGGTCTATCGGGGACATTCCGTATTGGTCCTCACCACAATTGTCTCACATTAAAATACTTAATTATTCCTAGCTTACAAACACTGACTTTTAAACAAACTCAGTGGGATAGTTCCTCTAAGGAGAAGAATAAAAAAGCAGTTTTTTTTCTGAAAGTGTTAATGCCCTATGAGAGGAAACACAAACTGAAGGCAAATTTGGAGCAAATCAAAGTAAAACTATACTTACTTTGTGACACTCTTACTAGCTCGGTCACACTGAAAACACCTGATGTGACAAAACTGTCCTGGAAGCCCAAATGTCCTGTGGAAACAAAATCAGAAGAAAACCAAGTGTCATAAATAGAAACTGCTCGACAACACAAGTATAAATACTCATCACCTTATGATTAAGTACGTGAGGTCTAAGTGCAGACTCAGCCCCCTCGGTGCTCCTGTGGGAGGGGGCACAGTCATCTGGTAACAGAGACAGCTTTTGGGTTGAGTCTGGAGGCTGTGGAAAAGTTTTGAAACAACAGCTGGGTGATTTTTGAGATGCTTAAAAAAATCAACAGGAAATCTGCGACAAAAGACAATTGAAAAACAAAGAAAGAAGACAGGTGACCCCCCGAGGCTTAGCAATGGGAACCCAGCATCTCTGGGAATCAACCAGGACAGCTAAGCTCTACAATGGTTTGAAACATTCATCACAAGAATATCTGATTGGGTTTAGTCGCCTGTTTACTTAAATCAAATGAAGTTAAAAGATATGCCCTTCTTTTCTAGATGTCTTACAGAGGGAACTCTGGAAGAGCCAGACAGGAAATGCAAATTCATTCTTTGAAATATGGAAACAAATCATTTTATACAAACACACACATTCATATTTGTTTAGAGAAAAATGGTTTTGTGTTGGTTGATTTTTTTATAAAATACATATAAATGGTTCAAAATTGTTTCAACTTTAAATTATGTGTTTGCTTAATTTTAGTTAGATATAACCGATTTTCTCTAAATGGCAAGGGGTGTGCAGTGTAATATAGGTGGTTTCCATTGCTGCGCCTACAGTTTTCATTCTGTGTCTTACAAGGCATATTCTACTTGAGAGATTTGCTTGTAAAGTCAGCTTAATCTTTACCTGCTTTAAGTGTGAAGCACTGGAGCAAGGGTTAGCTGAAGAGATTAAAAAAAAACCAACCTGTTCTTTACAATAAGACATATACCTTAAATTCAGCTTAAGAAAATGGACCAATCTGAACATAAAGCAACCCATTTTTATGCATGCTGCATAAAATCTAAATCGCGTACATTGCTGAGGGGAGGAAAATGCATGTACTCCAGTGCACACATACCAGAAAATTTATCAGACATGTACAGAAGGGACCATGCTCTAGAGGGTCATTAGCAGAGCTATGAGTTCTTTTGGTTACATCAGTTTTGAATAAGGAAGGATTTTACTGAGTCTTACAATTTTCAGTTAATTATGACATATCATAATTAATCTATGGTACTAAAAATAGTTCTAAACTTTAAGATATATACCAATCATATATATATATTCAAAATGAAATGGCAAAATTCACCTTGAACATTCTTAAGAATTTCTACTTATCAAAGCGACCTATAGACAGGTATGTCTAGGGCATCTTACTTAGTGAGTGCTGGAGGTGCTGTCTCTCCGACTGAGAGAATTGAGAAGCAAAAACTTTAGCAAATAAACAAAAATATTCTCTTAATGAGGTCTTGTCAAAACAGGTCATAACATTTCTTTTCTACTGGGCACCATTAAGACCACGTTTACCCCACAGACCATAACAAAGGAAATCCGCTACAATGTGCACGAATGTAGACTCAATGTACACTACATCCAGAAAACCACAGCTGAATGGGAAGTGTAGCTCTTGCTCATCTCTCTTTGTCCCACAAGTTATGGGCTTACACTTGCTTCAATATCAAACCCTGAAAGCCTGTATTTTCAGGAAAGACTCATAAGGATTTCTGAACTAAGTAATAGAAACATAGACCTGCCTCCTTAATTCTGCCACCCATTTTGGGTCTAAGTTCAAGACTAGTTTGAGTTTGATGGAAGGACTTGGGAAGAAGGCAATCTTCGTCATCACTCACTGAGCAAACAAATTTGTGGAAGCTAGATTCATGCTTAGTTTGTTCACCACTGGAATCTTTATGCCTCAAGGCAGCTAGTGAATACTGGTGAATAAAGAGATGACTGAATCTTTAAAACAGAGATGCTGAGATCTTTTCCTTGGGCCCTCCTGGATTCCGAACTTCAAAACCAAGCATCTATTGGACATGCTATCCTAGACATCTCACAGCGTAGCCTAGGTTCCAACACATCCCAAGTCTTTAGTTTTCTATGTTTTGTGTCATCCTCACTCTGGCATTATACAATTACCTTATCCCATGGGTCCCCATTGATTGGGTTTCTAGTATACATTGTTCCACCTCTCATGGTTCTAGTTTTCCCAAGGTTGAGGTTGAAGGTATCCCCAGTTCTCACTACCATGATGGGGAGTAACCATCTGCTGTCTACTGCCCACTTACTCGTTTGGCACCCTCATCAATCTGCTCTTTAATCTGAAGCCAGGCAGATCTGACCATTCACTCTCTTATAACACTTACCCAGAAGCTACCATGTGCCACGCACGGTGCTGGATCTACGGTCCCTAATTTCAGAGAATTTGCAGTTTAGTCACAGAGGCACATCAAAGGGTTTAAAGCAGGTTATTAGAAAAAAAAGTATAAATAGTCTAGGTGACACAAAGGCAACACACAGCAAGAACATTAGAAAGGATGGGGAGGGAAAACCTATTCCTAAAAGGCGCTGTCTGAAAGGTATTGAGAAAACAGCTAGGACAGAGAGTGATGAGCTATTTGGCAGGTATACCAAGGCTCCAGGGTAGGACAGCAGCAAGTACAGAGGAGGCCAATGTCTGCAGTGCACACTGTCCCATCAGAAACCCTGTAAGAGTCCCACAGGTGTAGTAGCACCAACATCTTATGGCTTTGTCACTTCCCACCTGTCCTTCTTGACCGAGTCTCTTGTCATTTCTATCAACCATCTGCCCCAGCTGACCTCACTTCTCGAAGGACATCTTTCTCTGTTTTTAATACTGGCCAGCTGTGCTGTGTATGGCTCTAACATAGCAACTGACGCCCACAATGGCCAGTTTCTCACGTTGCGTGTGCCTCCTTTGAGCTGGCAGTGCCTATTCTGGGTCATTGTTGCTCCAGCTCGAGGGAAGGTATCTGGCAAGCAGTTGGTACTCCAGGGAGACCCTAAGTAAATAGAACTCAAACTGACCTCATTTTTAAATAAAAAAGTCACAGAATTTGTTTGTTTCTCACTTTTTTTTGTAATAAGGTTGAACTAAACCAAGCACTGGAAAACTAAACCATTCAAATACAGCTAAGCCATCCGTACATATTCCTTCCACACTGAACAGGACTGGCACAGGAAAAACAACCCACTTTCTGCTAGAGAGGGTGCCATTGGTTTCTGTGCTGAGAAATGCCTGGCTGTGCAATGGCTGCCATTCTGGTCCACTGTCAGGGGACAGCAAACAAAAGCAGAGTCAAAGGACAGAGGTATTTCAGTGGACATTGACACCTGCGCCCAAGAAATCTAGTCTCACACTTAAACTAGGATCATGGTGACTGAGAACATCACTGCAAAAATAATTTCACCCTTCTATCAGTGGCCTACTGTCTTGGGATAAAGTGGAAGGGGAATGCACGTGAATGGGTGTAGGCAAGGCATAAATATGTAAACAAAGAGTGTAAATATTTCACATGCTCCCACTCTGCTTCACAGTATACCTGAATTATCAGACAGATTTTTATTTATAACTTGTCCCTGACAGACAGAAAGGCTGTGTAAACACTCTATTTAACTTCAAGTGGGTAGTTTTATTCCTTCACTAGGTATTTGGAAACCCGCTGGTGAACTCTGCTAGGTGACAGCAATAAGACAGGAAACCTAAGAAAAAATGGAAAAAGTGAGACGGCGGACATAATTACTAAGCAATTCCAGCAGATTAATCTTTCATTCTCACACACAGAGAGTCATAAAAATGACTTGCAGGGAAATCACACTGATTAGGTTGCTCTACATTATTGCAAGGTGAGGGAAAAGGGGAAACAAAAACACAAAGTAAAGTCTGATAGCTTGCAATACAGATGTTGTTAATGATACAGATCTCTGTGAACTCTGGAACTGAGGAAACCTAGTCAACTCCGGAAACGCTTTGAGATTTCCATTTTGAGCAGGGCCTCTTAGAATGATGGGAAAACATGGACCATGGTAACCTTGACATGAATGATGCAGTGTTACCCTGCTCGATGGCCTAGATCTAAGTCTGGAACAACTGTATGGGAGAGTGAAATAGGGACAGGTTTTGTTACGTTTTATATAAAACAGCTAAAATGTTTCTTCACTGAAGTTCGCTCAATGAATTCACCAGTAGAGCATAGTTTCCATACTTGGGAGTCAGACATTCTCAGCGGGGAGGGAGGAACCTCTCTGGAACAGCAGAATGTAAAGAGATGTACTTTTTAAGTACTCAGAAAAGGCCATTTGCTTTACCTCAACAATATCAGCAATTATCAAGGAAACTGTCAATCTCTGGACACCAAATCACATTTCATGGGAAGACTGGACATCTATCTACCTTTGATTGTTAAGGCAGGAAAGGAAAAGCTAGATTTGCTGAGATGTGGTAACCCACTGAACTGCCTATAGTTTGGGGAAGAGATCCAGGAACAAGACATTGTGAGGGCTGGCCATCAAAAGAAGCTGAGTGTCTCCACATAGCGAAGTTTGTATCTAAGGAGGATATGGATAAGACTTAGACAAGACTAGGTGTTTTTCATGTTCAGATACCAAGGCTATGTCTGACCTGAATTTTCAGATCTCGTCTGGTTATGGATGTAGGCTGACTGTAGTGCACAGCCAGTTTCATTAAGCGATGCTTTCCATTCTCTCCTTAGTAATTGAGTCTCCACCATAAGTAAACCACAGCCTTTCCAGGCAGTGGTCCTCGGCCACTGAGAAGGAAAAAGGTCCCTTATTCTCACCCTATCTTATTCTAGCACTAGTCTGGGTGTCTTGGGATGTGCAGTCACTGTACTTTCTCCTCAGAGGTCACTAGTTCCCTAACTCCTCCCTGAAGTCCATTTCCTCCTTCTGTGTACTGAACAAGATTGTGAGTGCTCGAGGGATACAGTTCCATGTATTTCATACGTGCTCAATAAATAAGGCAAAGTTAAACTTGACTTTGCCCAAAAGGTCTAAAATCAATAACGCAA